AATAGAAGAGAAAAGATCACGTGGAAGGCCAAAAAGAAAATGGATCGGTGTAATCAACAAAGATGCAATAGAGCATCGTGTAGATAAATGGAAAGAAATAGCCCAAGGCAAGCAGAGATCGTGCAGGCTTGTTAAGGCGGCAAAAGATCTATATGGTCTGTGATGCCAACAGAAAAAAAAAAAAATCCGTCACCATATGGACAATTCTTAGAGTGATATAACATAACATTTACAACATATTTACAGAAAATATAAATACAAAAAATAATACAGAAGCAAAATAATAATTAAAAAGTATCTACAATAAATAAACTTAAGATAATTAAAGTAAAAAAAAAACACAGACATACCTATATACACTATTTACAATCAGGCAAGAAATCACCAAACCAAGTTCAAAAAGGTATAAGCAGGACTCCAGGCACTAGCGGATCCAGGATTTAATTTTGGGGGGGAGCTTCAGCCCTAAAGATTTTTTTTCAACGATATTTAATTTGAAAAAAAAAAAATAAATTAACTACCTATATGAAATGATGTTAAATGGTGGTGGTCTTGATGTCCTATTAAATGTAATTACACGAACAAGAATACTATCGGAGATAGTTTTCAATACTTTTTTTCTGTAAAATATGGTTATATTTTACCATTTTGGGGGGGAAAAGCTTCAGCCCAAGAGCGCCCTCCCCCCTCCCCCCGTAGATCCGCCTGTGACTCCAGGAGATCAACGCGCTCCTCTCTCAACTGCGTCATTGGTACTAAAGCCAGTAGAGATTGGGCGAGAGCACTTTAGCCACATACACTCATTGCTTAAGTGGAAAATGTGGTCACTTCAATATACACTAACTACAAAAAATCTCCTCCCAAGTAGGAAACGATGAAAATAATATTATATGGAGTTTATTTTGTTTTTTTGGCTTACCAATATATATCCTGTGTCAGCTTACATATTATTTCCAAATAGTCTTATATATGTGTGATGTTTCCTCTCAGACGGTTTATATAACAGCTTCGAAGGAAATAAATACAAATGTAAAAATGTTCAAGGAGAACATTTGAGGTAAATTTCATCAAAATAATGTTATCGTTTTAGATTATTGAAGTTTAATAAACTATTGCATGCTATACATAATCGTTCCTAGATAATATGCATAGCCGTTCCTATACCCTAATCAAAATAAGGGCATCTATTTCTTCCTACTAGTCCACAGTCGCACCCGCAAAACATGATAAGGATAAGTGTCTTATTGCATAACAGAGATCTGCACTTAGCACAACTGTCTAGTTTAACTAGAAAACTATAAACAACAAAGAATAATGAAGATAGCTTCTGAATATTCCGTTTTCAGCAAAAATAAAAATAAAAAAAATGAAAATAAAATAAAAATAATCATGTACAGTTATATAGCTGATAATGAATGATATAAATTTATGAACAGGATCAAAACTGATTTTGATATAAGTCTTTATAGTTCACTTGCTGGGTTGTTTTATGCCTGTTTTGCGAAACATCTGTTAGATCTAGTTATTTTGCCACATTAATTAGTCTTCTCCATCTGTACTTTGGGTTATTGCCCATGTCTTAATTTCTAGTTATCTGCATGCAGCTCTACAGCATCGTAATACATAAACATTTACTTTCTCTGATTTAAAAATATTCCCAGAACAATAATTTAAAGCACTTATGTTAATTAACATTATACATTATACCATGTTTGTACAAACCAAAACAAGCGAAGATTGACTTCACAAAAATATAAATTGTATTTATATAATCAAAGAAGTTTGTAAGCATTGCTATCTGATGTCGATAGAGGAAACAAATAAACTAGGGGAAATATGTATGAGTAATCAGAACACTATTGGAATGTCGATGCTACAGAAATTCCCAAGTTTACATTCCTTGTATTTTCATGAATTTTTTTCACAGTGATTTAGCCTTGCATTGTCAAAAGGTAAAAATAAATTTCAAATTTTCATTATTCGATACAATAGCTTCTCATTACGAGTTCGTTTTAAAGTCACTAATTGTAATCTGTATTTGTTACCACTAATGATTTAAGAGAGCATTTAAGGCTTCATTTTAATTTTTTTTTTTTTTTCGGATCTGTACTTTCCATGTCCCCTCTCTGATTTGAAACGGCAAACATTGTGTATCATATGAAATTTTGGTTGGTTGTTTCGATGTTTTGGGTCCGTGTACGAGTAGTAATTTGCAGTAAGATTTTTTTCGATACATCAAATTCCTTTTTTTTTATGCTTAAAAAAATATTTTTCATCGCTATATACCATACATCCTTTACTCGCCCCCCCCCTCCTCATCGAAGACTTAAGTTGGACAATTGCAGGGTCTTAATTTATAAATATTTCATTTTTTTTCGTTATAAATGGATGCAATGCATCCACTTCCACTTATTAACCTACTTTAGAAAAAAATATTTTTCAATAGCTAAGAAACCTTAGGAATGTTACTTTCATTATTCGTACCTACATAAGTTAATATAATTAATATAAATCGTGTTAACTCCGTGCAATATGTATTTTTGGGTTATCAAGGTAAAAAACAAAAAAATAGTTTTCCATACATACTCTGTGGAAAGTTATTAAATTTTTTCTCCCATTCAATAATTCAATAATATATAAGCAGGCATTATTAACTACAACAGTTCATTCATTATCTTTTCATTAGTCTTAATAAGTAAAAATCTACCTATGGTAAAAAAGAGGATTCAGGATTTTTTTTTTCACGAACAGGCCTTAAAGACCACGTGAATATCACGAATTTAATGCTTCCTCTTCATCTGTCTCCTCTTTTCCCATATGCCTCTCATGAGCTCCGCGTGTTTAAGTTTTCTCTCCTCAGACCACGCAACAACCTTTTTGGAGCGCTTCTTTCCCGCAAGAATTCCCTTGAGCACCTTCCTGTACTCATCTCTGTCCAAACAATCTTGGTCTCGTAGGTCCATATCATCCGTAACCTGTTTGAAATACCTGCTTCAATTTTTATGACTGTGGATTCGCTGAAAAATTACAGGATTCATCATCATCAAATGGCCATGGAACCTCAGCCTTCCCACTCTAGCGTCAGTTTCTAGATCTGTTGTTTCCTTATATATTTCTTCATTTGACCTCAACCTGTATCCTTCAGGTGTTCTCCTAGGTCCGTAGATTCTTCTCAGCATTCTTCTTTCAATTTTCAGAAGAATCTCTCGGCTGGGAAGACAATTCAGAATTTATTATATATATATATATATATATATATATATATATATAATATATATATATATATATATATATATATTATATATATATATATATATATATATATATATATATTTGGAGTGAGATTAATTGTTTTTTACAACATGATTGCTTTCGAAGAAAAAGAAAGAATCTATATAAAATGATGTTTAAGTGGTGTGTCCTTTGTACAATATTTTTTATTTGTGCCAACGTTTCAACCCAAACATATGGGTCATCTTCAGGATGTGGTTCGAGCACTGAAGGCTTTGAAGAACTTGAAGTGCAAGTGAGTACTTGAAAGCCTTCAGTGCTCGATCCACGTCCTGAAGATGACCCACATGTTTGGGTTGAAACGTTGGCACAGATAAAAAAAATGTATAATGACTGCGTCCTGACTATTTATCAACCATGATATGTAGAACAGTCGACTAGCTTCCTTCAATCTACAACTTTTGTATTTAATCAAAATAGTCTCCACTATATCAATACATTTCTGCCAGAGTGTAGGCAACTTTTCCATTCTCTTGGAATAGAATTTCCCATTTTTAGAACTGATAAACTCAAAAAACGCATTTTTTAATTTCCTTGGTCCATTAATTTTTTTGTCATGTAAGTAGTAGTCCAGGTGTCTAAAAAAAAATAATTATCCGTAGGCGAGAGGTCCAGAGAGTAGGGCGGATGTGACAGAGTTCCATATCCAAGCCCCAACAGTCTTTGTGACGTCACACGTCAGGCGTGAATATTCGTAATGGTATAACCCTGACCGCAGATTTGTTACATCCAGAGATGTTATTTTAAAAGAAAGAAATTATTTTAAAAATGAAGACAATTAGGCTCTATGCAATATTTAATTGAATTTACTACTTAGTACCTTTCAATAAGCCATAGAGAGCCAGTTGAAATCAATTCGTAATAAAAAAACATATTTTTAACATTAGCAAATACACGGAGTTACTTTAGTTAACTAAATTGGTTCATTTAGTTCGTAGTTACGGTAAAGAAATTCAGCAGGCATATGACATTTTTTTTTCAGAATGAATGAATGAAAGCCAGTGGAATGCTGCAAATGCAATAAATCTAGTTTTTATAAAAATGCTTAATTCTGAAATCTCATTTCGTTTTTACTCATCATACATAATTTAAAACCAAATACTATTAACACCATCCCGATGGATCTAAACAAAAAAAGATTTTGGTTCGGTTTATAAAATAAACCATGTGAAGTGAAATCAGAGCCTGAACATAAACAATGTAATTCTATTCTTTGTCAAACAAGAAATTATTTGCATATTGAATGATGAACTCTACATTATAAAAATATGCAAACAAGGATGATTCACACAAGTTGATGCATTGTGAATGACTCACTCTGAATAGTAAACCAATAATTCAAATTGTTTTCATAAAAAAATATATGATTTGAAAATTAAAAAACGATTATTATAATCAGATCAGAAAATTTGCAAGAGTAGCGATAATGATTATGACAATTTTAACAATGTGGAACCTTAAAAAATATTTTAAAAATCTCAATTTGCAAATAAAAAATTAAATACTAATCAATATATTATACAATAATATGTAATTAATTGTATTCTACTTACTAAGAGAATTAGGTACGTTTCCGATTGAAGGATAATTGGTCAACTACCATTTTAAACATTCAAAAGTAGATGAATGATTAAGATAACACTTTTAAATTACTTATATAACAAATAGATATTTCATAAAATAAAGGAAACATTGTATTGAGTATTTTTAAGTATTCAAGAATAGATAATTCTTTTTAGTTCACAAACTCGTAAATGGGTGTGTTTTAACAGTACTGATCGAGCAAGCATAGGCAGAGTTAATTTAAATCAGCTGCAAGCTACAGTCAATTAGTTTGGTGGGACCGATTCGTCGTCCGAATTTTGTTAATTGTTTTATTTTTAAGTTGTAATAGTTTAAGTTTGTTTTTGACTATTTAAAAATGGTGATTAAAGTGTATACGTCAGGAATCTCTGGCAATAAAGAGGTCAGTTTATATTTTTGCTCTATAGTTGTATTATCAAAATTTTGAAAATTGGGACAATTTTGCCGGTTTGAGGGTTTCTTTTTTTTTTCTGATTTAATTATTTGCTGAAATACTAAATTATGGCTTCTGATCAATGATAAGTAATATCTAATATTTGACAACAGGTTATGTGACTTCTATATATGTACTTCTTCCAAGTAGATAAAGTTTCATATATCAAAATAGCGTTAATATATTTGTTATCAAGATCATAATATTTTCAGATACATATTTATATTTTTTTTTTATGGAAGACTTGAACTTCTATCTTAGGACTAGATTTCTTACTATCCATTAAAATACTCATTTTAGGTTAAGAAAAGGCAGCAACGAATCATGATGATTTTGGACAGTAAAGGAATAAACTATGAAGCTATTGACATCACTGAACCTGGAAGGGAACTTGATAAACACTTTATGCAAGACAACGCCAAAGCAAAAGATTCTAAGCACCCGTTACCCCCTCAGATCTTCAATGAAGAGGACTACTGTGGAGTCAGTATCTTAAAATTTAATTAAAATCCTATACATTCATTTCATAACTTTTCTTGTGATGTAAGACTATAATCGCTGTATTTTGTATTATCTCCAAACCTTATGTTATAAGATAACTACCAGTACCGGTAGTTAAACTATATTTTGTATTTAAATTTTGAGTTCTGAGAGAAGCAACATTTAAATTTATGAGGACATCAACTAAATTCAGCTGTAAACAATAGGAAGTTGTTAATCAAGATTTATCATTTCATCAATTACTGTTTTATTTATCCTAGACAGAATTTATACAGAGGCATTTATATTTTGGTTTTTATTAAATACTTAAAACGAAATGAGAAAAACTAATTATTTAAAAAAAATTTGATTTCTCTTTAATGTTTCTTGTTAAACAATTGAAATTTCTGTCTTAGATTAGGACTAGTTTACATACCATTAAACTTGTTGGACAATCGTTTTAATTTTGACTTGACATCGTATTGAGTTAGTTACCCATTTTCCTAAAGTACTGATTTATAATATTTAATTCGCAAAATTGCTAACTGGTTGACTTTATACATGGTACACAATTAATGGTATCCTGTAGTCATATTTGTCTAAGAAAATTATAGGTGATTTATCGTCTTAAAGACAAAATCTGCAATAGAGTTTACTTTTGTTTACTTGGGAATATTATCTTTATTCGATGTCGTCCAGAGATAAAGAAAACTTATGAAAGGCTATACAATAATAAGATTTAGTTTCTCTATATTACTGATTTATAACTAGTGACGTCTTGAGGAATTATATCAACTAAAAGATCATTTTTAAAACTAGATATCATTGAGGAAATATAGTTGAAATAGATAAGTTAAAAAATGTCAAACTTTAACAAATTCACTAAGATGAACAAGTGTTAGGTTTGCTTCTTGATGTCCTAAGGGAGGCTCAACTGTCGGTTGTTGGACACATCAAGAATAGTCCAAATATTTTAGAAGATTAATATCTAAAGGGAGTTGGAGTTGTCTACTACCTCAGCTAATTTAATAAATCTCAAACACAAGAAAAATCTGATAATAATAAATGATCAAAAAAGGTTATGTTCTTTGTTCGAACGTGTTTTAAGTGTACTATCGATATTTTTTCAGTGGCTATAATAAATCTAGAACAAGTTTTATAAAACCTTTTCCCATTCTTGTTCCTTCCCTTTATGTTAGACACTTCCAAGATTTTGATCTTATGAGTATAATTAACTTAAGTATGTATATAGAGTGGTATTTTTGAAAAATATTTTTATTTTTATCATATTAAAAAATAGTGCGCTTGTTATTAAATTATTCTTTTTATTATCTTACCTGCATAATTATTGTTAGGTACTTTTCTTTGAAATTTTTACACTGTAAGTTAAAAACTACCCTATTGGTTAACAGAAGCTGATGAATTAACGATGTTGGTTGATTATGATTTTCACTAACCAGTTTATTATTGGATTTAAACATATCCCAACATTGATGTTCAGAAATCTTTTTTGAGAATAAATCAAGATATTTATTTATGTAATATGTATCTTTCAGTGTCAGGTACAAATGGCTTATTGTATTAATGGTCAATTACAGCATAAAAAGAAATGTGTGGGAAAGCAAAAGAAGATATTTGCAACTTAAATGATTGGACTTCAATAACTTTAGTTTGAACGACATATTTGTTACTGACAGTATTCAGATTGATTCCGGGTTTCTTGTGTCAATTCTTTTGGATTCCGTTAGAAAAAGAAAGAACTATATTACTCCATTTCATTATATTGTGCTTGGTTTGTGAAATATCATTTCATATCCCCCATCCTCCTTCCAGTATTTGATGTTTCTTTAATCTTAGCATTTGGTTCATTTTGACGAATTTGCTAAAATTTGTCATTTTTTTACTTATCTATTTCAAAAATATTCCTGGACCAAACTTACAATGTTAGTTATGCATTCAACAAAGATTTATTATTTGTCAATTATTAAAATTTTAAAAAATTTACTAGGAATCACCGCTTTGGATTTATCAATCAATTACCTAAAAAAGTCTCAAAATTTAATATGTTATATTGTGAGCTCAAGCTGAGGGACTACGTGATACTATCATACTTTTTGATGTCAAATAAAGCGATAAAAACAATCACCTGTTTTACAATATTTAGTGCAACTAATAGTCAGTTCTCTCGAAGATAAATCCAGAGCACCAGAAGGCGTGAGTGGCCCAGACTATGCTGGGTGGATGGAGTAATTTAATAACCATTCTGGGAATCGGGCTGGAGAACGGCTGCACGGAATCGAGATGAATGGGGGATCTTGCTTCAGGCAGCCGTGACCCCTCACGGGTTCTAAAGTCATGAAAGAGAAATAGTCTGTTCCCCCATGGCATCTATTTTTATTGGTTTATATTATATATGTATATAAATTTGTATTTTAGTTAATAGCATTATATTTACTAGTAATTTCACAGTAATTGTGTTCAAAGAAGACTTTTTCTGCACATCGTTTTTATACATTATATAAACTCCCGCCCTTTTTTTTTGGTCCATAAACTTTCCCAATCAAAATGGAAAGTTTGCACCTAAACTAAGGCTAATACCAAATAACTATTGGATATATTGAGGCGAAGATTTTCAAGTTTCTATGAAAATATGCAAGTAGCGTATTAAGGTGCATTAACGCTAACCTCGAGTGAGAGAAACTAAAAAAACCAAGCTAATTCAACACTAGCCCTCAACATGTTAAGTATTATCCACAATGATATCTAGTTTTTGAAAATAATCTTTTAGTTGATATAGTTCCTCAAGCCATCACTAGTTATAAATCAGTAATATAGAAAAATTGTTAACCATATAATAAAATTTATATTAAATATATTACACAATATGTTAGCTACAACGTTATTCTGTAAAATGATATTATAATGCAGTTAAAGGATTTATCAAAAAAAAAAAAAAGATAAAATATAATCATTCATATTTTGCTGAAGTTGTGTCTCTAATAAATGCAGATTTTTTTTATCAAATTCTAATGCAGATTCCTAAGCCATTAAAATGTATGCAAAACAAGTAATTTAAAAATGGTGTATAGAAATTAGACAGATTTTTTTTACTAGTTATTTATATTTTGACATATGCAGATAACTCTGCTAAAGGCCTACAACTTAGACCAAAACATTGGTACAAAATAAAAATGAAGTTTTATCCAATAAAATTCATTGCTTCATTGGCTACATCTGCCTTCCTCCTCTACCAACTTCACAAATAATTTGTGTTAGGTTTATATAAAAAATGAATGAATTGTTTATAGTTAAAATCAACTTATAATTATAAAAGGCTTGAAGAATTCAAAAGTTTGATACTGATATCTCCATTTGCTGTTTATGCACTTCCGTTCACCAAACCCAACTTAACAACATCGGCTTAACAACACAATCCTCCCACCTATGTTTTGGTCTTCACCTCAGACAATTGGCCCAGTGCTTTTTAAACTTTTATGGATTCATTTGTTGCTTAATTCAACAATTTTATTTTTTGCTTTACTTTCACCTCAATTATATTTACTAGTAGATGCAACTCAGTGTTGTGTAGCGGTCTAAATTATCTGGTTGACTCATCCTTCTTCGTTCCGAATATTTTATACGATATGTTATTTTCAAAAATCTTTATATATGTGGCAACGCAAATAACTGTAGGAAAGATAGTAGTTTTTTAAATTTTAATTTTTGAGTTTTTGGACAGAAACTGCATGTTAAGTAAATTTGTTGCAGAAAAAATAACAAGCATTTATAACCATTAAGTATGACCTTTATTTCTTTTTCTTTAACTTTTTCCAGTCACCTAGTATTTTTAGTTCACAAAATATCACCAATAAACTCATCGCAATTCAATTTACAGGATTATGAAGGATTCGATCTGGCTAACGAAAATGATGTTCTCGAAGCCTTTCTGAAACTTCCCCTTCCAGCAACACCTGTTATTGAGCCTCCTCCTGTCGTCAACGGAACGGTAGTTCATTTTATTTCTATTATTTTTAAATTAAAGATATTTCTTATCTATATTGCGAAGCAATACTCATTATTATTCAACTTTTATTTTATTTTGATTAAATAAAACTATAAAAAATCATGATTTATTTTTTTTCTTTTTAGAAATTATATTACAAAAGAAATAAATAAATTGTATTCAGAACTGCCACTAACATTATGTTTTTGTTCATTGTAAAATTTCATTTATATTACTCAATTCTTAAAAAGCGGTTATCTCATTTTTACAGCATTACAATGAAAAGGATACTGATGGTATTACACCAGATAATGAAAGGTGATTATTGGACTGTTATCTCTTTGTTACAAAATTGAGGCTTTGATATTTTAGAGTTGTTTTATTTTTAGATGGATCAATTCTAGTAGAAATCATTTATTGAAACACTTTCTAATCGAAGGTGCCAAAAGCTTTGCCAAGTAATTTGTCCTATGTGATTTACCTTCTAGTTTTTGGCACGCATTCATTAACTTTTACTTTTTTAAATTCAAATTCTCTCAAAGAATATATGTATATATTTTGATGACTGTAAATATATTATGGCTTCTTACTTTTTACAACATAGTTGACTTAAATTTAAAAATAATTTTCTGTTAAATTCCATTTTACCGAATTCTAGGAATGAAGATATTATAAATGCATTAGTACCAAACACAGTTGATTCCGATAAAACAGATGATGAGGTTTGAAAATAGATTATAATTTTCTGTCTAATTCTTTTCTACAAGCTAAATTAATTTTATTTTTAAAGCTTATACTAATCTGATCATTGAAAAACATACAAAAATGTTGTTCACCTTCTTAGTATATAAAATCATAAGTTGGTGGCTGGTCAAATGATATTTTTAATAACAGTTTTAGTGTGTTCTCAAGTTTATTCTTAACCTGAATATTTTACAGATATCCAATCTAAATTAGATATATATGTGTGTGTATATAAATGATGATATTAAAATTAGGTGGAGGAAATTATCGAAGAACCAGTAGAGGAAGAAGTTATCGAGGAACCAGAGGTTGTTGAGGAAGAGGTGGTGGAAGAGGTCGAAGAACCAGTTCATGGATTCTGCTATACGCCCGCATTGGCTAAGAGATTAGAGAAAGCTTTGAGAGCGAAGATTAAGAAAATCCGCCCTGTCGGTTTTATTATTTTGATTTTGTTCCAGTCTTGACTAATATGTCAGTCTCGTTGGTTGAACGGTCTTATTGTCCACGTTTGTTTGTTAGGAAATCGTTGCAATCGGCTCTGTCTGTATGGCATGACAGTAATGTTTGAAGTATTTTATATTACGTTCTGTTCTATAAAATATTTCAATTATTTCTTATATTATGTTGTTATGAAATGCATGTTGGATCATCTAATAGAGGGATAATACTAGTTTTTGCATTATTAAAAGTAATTTACACATATACAATATTACATAACCATATTCAATTTTAATACAAAAATACTTAATTAATTTATTTTTAAATACTGGTAAAAGAATGAGCACGGTTAACAATAATATTAATTATAATAACTACTGTTAAAAGAATGTCTTTGATAAAATGTCCTTGAATCATTCAAGAGTTGAAAACAAATGCGAATCATCAAATGTTTGTCCTTGGTTTTTTTTAGATTTTACCTTCTAACATTAAGTTAATTTTTTTAATGGATTTATATATTAAGTATTAACTTTTATGAATTAAAATCATTATTTTTTTAAAGAATAAAAACAAACAAAAGATAATAACATATTAATTAATAAATACGCACATGATTACTTATTTAGAATATTCAATAATTACATGATAACCTCTATAAATAATAATTCTTTGGTTTTTTGTTTTAAAGATTTTTTATGATTAAAGTATGACAAAATTTAATAGAGACATAGTTTTTCTTTGAAACTGTTTGTATTCGGTTTTTAACTGAAGAATTTTTACAATAGACGTTAGTGTTCATGCATATATTAAAGAGATACTACATATATATTATGATTCACATTAGGTGGGAACATGTAAAATAAATTTTAATTTCATAAAATCTATTTTACCGGAATGATAATTCGACAACTGTTTACAAATTAATATGTAATTGCGATGATTTAAAGTCTTATATTTTTTTATTATATGAGCCTTTCAGTCGACAGTATGACTAACTCCAATTTCAAAATTTTTTAATAAAGTCATTTTATTGATATTTCTAGTTGGAAAATGTATATCTGTACAGAGTGAATAAATTGATTCTTCCAAGGTGCATAATATATATTTGTGTGGAATATACCAAAATAAATAATTCTTTCAAAGGGTTACTTGATTCTAGAGTAGATTATGGTAGTGTTGAAATATAGAACTGTGAATTAAAGGTATACATTTTCTCACAAGAAGTATTACTAAAATTAATAATTAAATATGTTGAAATTGGAGTTAAGTTATTCTGTCTACTGAAAGACTCATGTATAGGTATAGTGTTGTTAATATAAGAAACTATGTTTGAAATAAAAGTACTTAAAACACAGAAAAAAATAAGTTGTCCTTTACTACAGAGATATTGCTATTTTTAATGATTTTAACATATATCATTTAAGCACTTTTCATTAATTGTGGTCCCTTCCACATCATAAAATGTGGTGAAATTGTTAAATTTATTGATTTGTATTAGTTCAGCACAAATTCTTGCATTCTATATATTTAAAAATCAGGTCTATATAAACACCACATGATATCATGTAAGGTCTAATGATTTGAACATAAATCAAGTTGTTAGTTTTATTAGTTAATCATATTTCAGCTTCAAAAATTGTATGTTTTTAGATCCATTTTCATTGCAAGTTTTATTTTATTTTATTTTTTTTTTCTACCAGTTTCTGGTTATTTATATTTGTGGTTATTGCAGAAATCTGTTCATGGCTTTTGCTATACTCCATCTCTAGCGACCCGTCTTACAAAGGCTTTAGAGAAAGCCTTCTTGAGGAAGAAAGCAGAGGAGGAAAAAGTATGAAGTTGTTGGTCCATTAGCATCCGACGTCCCTTGTTGTATTGCGTTCTTTCCCGTCTTGGATATATTATTGTTTCCTTGTTTCTGTTGTGTTTGCAGATTTTTTTCTTGTGAGTCTTGAAGAGATGTGTATTCTTGATCCAAATAGTTCAGTTTTTAAAGGTTATTTATAAATGTTCTTCACTAGTGTGCACCTACTAATCAGAATATCATATGCATGTGTTTAAATTTTTTGTTCACTAATTTTTTAAACTATTATTATTTTGGTTTATTATTTTCAATAATCAACCTATCAAAACAAGTTAACCTCCCTCAAAATTTGAGGTTTAAAAATATGTAAAAACTGAAAATTGAAAAAAAAGATATCTGTTCATAGCTTTTTCCCCGAGACTGCTGAATCGATTGTTTTGAGTTTTGATATCAATGTCAAAGGACACCTGAGGATGATCCTCGGAACTAGCCACCTTGGGCAAAACACTTATTTATAAATTGTAGTGCCTATAGGGACTACTTGGACAGTCTTCTCTGGGGGCGGGTGCCGAATAGGCTAAAGCGTGTGCACAGCACTTCATCGTAAGTATTTCATGTGTAGGAGGTGACCGTGATAATAGGAAGGAGTTGACGGGGGGGAGGTGCTGTCAATAATAAAAATTAAACATAGTATAAATTTTCGAGTTCGCGTCCCGGTGCCGGAGGGGATTTTAAATTCCCGCCCTCGACCCCCGGCCGGGAAAATCCCATATAGCCTAAAAGGCGAGGAAGGGAAGAACAAACAAAAAACAAAACAAAAAAAATTGTACAGTCTTCTCTCAAAGCTCTTTAAATTTATTTATATAACATAATTCATCGAAAAGTACTTTCCTTTCAATATGGCAGCTGAAAAACCTGTGTCATACAGACTATAGCCCCTAAACCAATGTACTGATTTCAATGAAACTTGGCCTAAGTATTCTCCTTCGTAGCCCTTTAAATTTATTTATATAACATACTTCACCGAATAGAATTACTATATAATAATAACCTAAAACAATAATTAATAATAACCCCGAAAGTGGTGGTAGAATTAGATTTTCAAATAACTCAAAAAGTATACACTTTTTTGTGATTTTTATAATCAGTTGTTTCAAAGGTATTTAAATTTCCTTGGAAACAAATAAAAGTATACAAAATTTTCTATAAACATAAAAGCATTGTTGAAATCGGACGATTTGGTGCAAAGATATGTTATTATATCTTTTATTATTTTACCTTATATTAATTGCTACAAAGCTGATCTTTGTTTTGGTTTTTAATTTTTGGAAAGTCTTACATCAACAATGAACTTACATGAAGCAATCAAGATCGTTATTTATATTTCTTAGCAAATTACTAACGGTGAAAAAAAAATATATATATATATTTAGGCCTATATTAGGAATCACGTTTTATTTATTTTACTTTATGCTACTAAGAAAATAGTATTACATTTGATTTGTAACTATTTGGAAATAATAAACCATTTTGTAATAATTTTTAGAATTTTTTTTTTTTGTAACACAATAATATAGGCCGTTTGGTTTTGTTTAGAGCATTTTTTTTTTTTTTTCAGATTTAATAAATTGTTTTTTGGTTGCAGTAAAACATCATTATTTTCTATCTATAAATTGTTCTGTTGTTTATTTTTTTAGAAAGAAGATATAAACGATAAAGATGTGATGGATGTGGATAATAAAGAGGTACTTAGTCATATGTCAATGTTGTATCATGGCGTTCAATGTTATTTGTTTGTTCCTATTAACACCAGTTGTATTCAGTGTAGTTGTAACACCAGTTAGATTCACACTCGCACCTTTCAGAATCAATGCATAGTTATGTGTGTTAGATATTTCTGTTTTGTTTTGTTTTTAGCAATAGACTTTCTAACTATTAAATATTTTTGTTTATTAATTAATCACTGTTATTCTAATCTTACTCAGTCCTTTTGAAATCCTCTCATGTAGTAGTAATAATAATTTTAAAAAATGTTTGATTTGTTTATACTGACATGTTTTGGAAAAATCATTTCCCTCTTTAACACTTTAAGCATCACTGTTTAAAATAAACTATTAAGGTTATGCTTTTATCTCTTATTTGTCTGCATGTAGTAGAAACTCCTAACATAAAAAAAAAAACATCGATATACCTTATACACTTTACTAATATGATCAATTTTATTTGATAACAATGGAATATTCTAATAATAAAAAAAAACTTCTGGTGCAGTGCATGCGTCATAAAACTTTCACTTACCAACCTTAGTACAGTATCGAAAAATAATAATGATTTTGGGAAAAATTCATGGCAGAAAATTTATTTATCTGTTTCATTGGCCGTGACGCAACCCTGTGTCGGGAGACCCTCCTGGGGCATACCCAGCCTCTATAAAGTGGGTACCCTTAATTAAAAAATTAATTAAGGGGGAAAACCTGGCGGTTGAGCGTGATACAGGTTTATATTAGTAGATCATCAAAATTTCACATGAAAACCTTTTCAAAAGTTATGGATAAGTGATATATAAAAATTAAATAACAATATGAAAGCCCTGTACAGAGGTGTATCAGGTATCTGTAAAGGGAGAGGATCAGCAACGATCACATGCTCTCGGCTGTTTCCGTTTAGCTTCCAATTCTCATTTCTCCTTTAGTTACTAATCAATTTTCTTCATTCATTATATTTAAATATTTTTTATACCTGGTTATAATATTTCATACACCGAAATGATTAATTATTTCAAATAAAAAAATTAAAGGTACTTTAGAGGTAGAAATTTTGAAAATTAGCCATTTAAGCTCTATAAGAGAACATCATTCAGAATAAACTCTGCATTATATTAAAACCGCTTAATTTTACACTGATATAATGAATTTAATTAAAATTGTTTCATCTATTTTTGAGAAAATTATAAAAATGTGTTAAATACATGATATAAAGTGCCACTTTTGGTTAGACAATTTTGATAAAAAAAGTTGCTGTAACATTCCAGGCATATCAAAACCTTAAATATGAAATTTCACTTTCGTACTACTTCATTTTTGAGATAGACTGTTCACATACATGCAGACCATTTTGCGGGAATTGGTTATTTGGACTCAGCGGAGCTCAAAACATGTATTTGCGTCAAAAACTCTGATTTGAAAATTTTCATGATTGCAATACATTCTCTTACTATATATTACATTTATTGGTAAGTGAAAGTAAAAAGAAGTTTAATAAATCACATTAGACTTCCATTTATTCAATGATTGTAATTGTTTATCCTAAACAATTATATTAATTTGATTAGTTAATGATAATTTGACAAAATTGATACTAAATCATTTGTTTACTAGTATATGTGTACATCTTAGTCTCTTCATTGAGGCAATGTAATGGGTTATTTTATTCCTGGCTGGCAATTTTTTATTTCCATGTTTTGATTTTATTTTTTAATTACTTTTATTGCTTATGCATTGATTTTTCTTTCTTATTTTCGATAATGATCCTCTGTAACTGAAAAAGAAAACAATATTAATCTCCCTTTCTCTAAATTTGATTCTTTATTTTTCAAGATATATAGTATTCCTAATTCAAATAAGAAGCATCTTTCTATGGCTTATCTCCGAGATAATCAAGTCAAAATTTTATTTATTTATTTTGTTTTATTTGGCACAAAGATCATAGTTATTAGGATAAACACAGGGACTCAGCATTACCATCTGCCATATTGTTTCAAAATTGCAGCTGATAATAAGATTCATATGTCAGTATATCAGCCATTTGTGTGAATGGAAATAAATTAAAATGTATTTATTAAAACATTCAATGGCTGCTACTTTAGACTTTTCGACTTTAAAGTTATTTTCTTTTTGTCCTCAATATCTTAATTATTTTACATATTTTACCTAATTAAAAACTATTTAAAATGTCACAGCCTATTTTAACTTTATAATAAGAAACTTAACTGAGAATTTCTTCAGAATTTCTAAGTGAACATTAAAGACATGGGGAGGGCAGCTTAATGACTTTCACAGAAAAAAGGATATTAAAAATTATGGCTAGAATAGGAGAGTGTGGAGAAAAACCATTACAAGTTTTTATGTTACTAACGAACCATTTTGGCCAAACCATTATTGGAGCAGTTAATATAGGTAAAAGGTGAATAAATAATTATTCATTAAGTTCAACGGATCTGATGAAATTGCAATATAAACAAATATTAAGGTTGGTGACTTTAATTAATTTCGCATAATATATTAATAATATAGAATGTGCTGTAGGGAATATCAATGTAGTTTTTTAGTAGATTTGCTTTTGTGAGAAAGTCGTTGATCAGGCTTTACTCTTCAACATTCTGATTCAAAATAATGATGACAAAGTTGTTAGAATGACTGATAAAAAGAAACAGATAAATATTTTAAAATATGATTGAGGAAGAGGTTTAGGCTTGACCTCAAAATGCTGACAAATGTATTATTGACCTTTAGTTAATAGTAAATTCGTAAAAAGGAAGAGTTTCATTTTTTATTTATTTTTTTTATTATTATTTATGAAATTTATAACTGTACAAATTAATATACATTCAGCAAATGTGATACAGAGGTACCATCGGCTACACTGTGGACCAAGGGAGCATCAATTGGAAGCCATACCTAGCGTTTTTAGCCTTAACCGGCCTCCAACCTTACTCCCCGGACCGGGTAAACCACAAAGAATGCAGGCTCACAACAGGAGCCCACGGAATAAGACAACTCCTACTACCATAACTTCCGTCCACTCGCTACACACTGTACCAGAAGATAGCCTGAACAATGCCAAGACTATCTGTACACTGGTGTCGTGCAGCGAGTAGTCGTAAACACAACGACCACTACGACCGCCACGGCCGAACAGTGCAAGCACTCTCGCCGTCCACCCATAGCGCCGCCGGGGCTCCGGCGACGCCCCGTAGTACCAATTTGGTCGGGAAGCTGCTTCCCTGACCTCAGAGCACGATTGGTCTCAGGCTCCGCAATCAGTAGATCGCTACGGCTTTACATTGCCTGCCGATGTACAGGAGGATGCCTGCACCTCCGCAGTCAATGAGGGACACGACTCAAACCTAAGGGTTCGAGACGATGACCGTCCCCGTAGCAAATGTGATACAGAGAAATTCATGGCATGACAAGGCTTGCAGAGAATCTATCCATTGGTAGCACTCTAATAAAGTTTCTAAATTATGAGATCTCGAGGCCATCTTCTTTTCAGACGCCTAGAAAGGTTATCAGGGATCGAGGAGGAAATAAGGTTAGAAACGAGAGGATTAGGATGTTTCTAAAGTTTATTATGGAAGGACAGGTATCTGGATTTAGCCAGATCTGATACGTAAGAAATATTAATGTCGTTATGGATGATTTTATTTGGAACAAAGTAAGGAGTATTAAACATTTTACGAAGGATTTTGAATTGTAAAGATTAGATACGATAGGAGTTCAATGGTTTAGTGGAGCCCCAAAGTTCAACTCCATTAGTCCAAATAGATCTTATTATGGTCATGTATATGAGTCTTTCGTAATTAATGGAAATGTCAAGCGGTTGTCGTTTCAGTCTGGTATGAGGATTCCATGCTAGAAGTTTGACCAGATGGAGTCCTAGGTATCAGATTTGTTCAACAGGGATAAGTGGGATATTATTAAAAAATACTGTAGGAAAGGAAGTCATAGGTTTACGACGAAGGGTAAAGGTAATTTGATGAGATTTATTGCAATTTATTTTAATTCTCCAGTTTTTACATCCTTCTTCAAGGTTTGTGATGTGTGATTGAAGGGTTTGGGATGCAATGGTTGGGTTGTTATGAACTGATAGGACACATGTGCCATTGGCATAGGTTGTAATACCGGTATTTGGATGAGTTGGGATGTCAGCTGTATAGAATGTGTAAAGAATAGGACCTAGGATACTACCTTGAGGAACACCAGCAGACTGGGAAAAGAGGGATGAATAAGCATTGTTGTGATTTACTTTGAAGTATCTATTAGAAAGGTAGGAACGAATAATGAGGAAGTATGTAGAGTTTCATTTCTCTACAATAACTAAACAAAAATAATTTTTTTTATTTAGACTTCTCATTGTCTTATTGTTCCAATTTTCTATTCTTTAATAAAAATGAATTTATTTTAAATATTTTAACAGTTTTCTTATTTCTTTTTCCTCATCTTTCAGGATTTCTTTCAATTCTGTTTCCATTTGTAGATTTTTCCTTAAAGCAGTGTACCTACTACACTCTAACAGCATATGCTTCACTGTTCTGGGTGATTGGCATTTTTGTGCAAGTAGCGGCTTCTAATCTTCGCATGAGGTATCCATGAGAAAACTCACAATGTCCGATTCTTAGTCGACATAATATCACTTCTTATCAGACTTTTGGTTTGAAATATTCCATTTTAAAATTATTTTTTATTTCTTTAAGTTTTGCCGAACTCATTTTCAATTTATTTTATAAGGAGGAGGCTATTTGGGGTGTCCAATCTTCTCAAGTGTTGGTCTCAGTTGATTGTAGCTTGCGGAGTTTCTTGAAGCCAAACAGAATTGACAGCACCATTGGCTCTCTCATTACCCCAGATACCGCAATGTGAGGGCACCCCCATATAAGAACTAAGTTTTTATTTTCTTCTCTTAGTTCACCGTATGCGTTAAATATTTCTGTTATAACAGGATGCTGGTTCGTTGATTGTTTTATGGC